TCAACATCTTGTTTATCCCTTCCTACCCTCTCACGAATATGTCTGTGCCCTTTTCCCACCAGCATACACGTGAGCTGAAGGCGAGAATGGGCCTGTCCAGCACATGGAGCTGCAAGGAGAAAAGCTTTTAATGTCCCATGACTGGGAGCTCACCCAGAGACCTTCCTCTGCACACAGCAGCGATGGACCAGGCAATTTCAATGGAATCATATGTATACATTTACTTAACTCCCTGTAAAACCCAAGCCTTTAGAACACATGTGTACAGCTGTTCCATAGGAGGCACACCTATATTACAGCATGTAATTAGTTAATAAATTTGAAATCTAGAGGAGCCCAGATCTTTAACCTGGAAAGTTTGAAGTTGTTTCAATCTGACTTCTCCAATTGTTTAATGACAAAAAAAAAAAAAATCCAAAGTCTGTGTTTGAAGGTGGATGCACTTTTTCCTGGTTTTGAGAAGTGTCAGTACATAGGAATTGAACTGCCTTATCTCAACTGCATTAGATTAACTGAGCAAGTATGAAGAATCTTCTATTACGAAGGAATGGATTCTCGTTAGCCAGGACAATAAAATTATGGTTTGCATCTACATAAATGGCATGTAAAGAAATTAATGCAAATGTCCAACAAATTGTAAAGGTTTAGAATGTCTTTTATCCAGTTGTTTGTTGAACAGTATTTACCTTTAGCCTTTCATAGGTTGTTTAAAAAACTGAATGTGTAATAACTTCCTCTGAATGTTTCAGTGTAAGCTAATGTACTGTTCCTTTATGTAAAAAGTAAAGTCATTTTGAAGCCTTTTGCTCAAGTCTCTGGGATTGTCTATACTCTGTGGCTAGGGCTGAGCTGAATGCCTAGCATCCATGGGTAGAAGAGGGAACAACTGCTGCCCCTCCGAACCAGCTATTCTTGTATCTGGAAACATTGTCAGGTGCTACAAGCATCACGCCATCTGAAAGGCCAAAGTTGAGCACTACATTATTGGAGTAGATGACACCTTATTCTTATTCTTCAACAATTCTAACAACTTAGAGTCCCTCACTGTCCCTTTATGAACACAGATGTCATTTTGATGGGGGGACAGCCAAAATGACAAGAAGGTGACCTGTCGGTGAACTCAGGAGCAGGTGAGGCCTGTCAGCTTCTAATTTGAAACTGGTGTCAGTCCTGAGGAATGGCTGGTATAATCACATTTGTAACTGATATCCTATAAACTCTGCAAACATTCACAGTGCGCCTGTTATGAGTAATATGAAATTAACAATTCGTGTTTATGACACGAGACACCAACTGAATCAAGTAGGTTTCAGTAACTGGATCAGCTCTGTCTGTCTTCCAGAGCAGCACATCGAACTGCTTCAGCCGGAGCCAAATGACTGTGTGCTTATGTTACAATAGGCATTGTATTTATTTTGAAGACAAACTTTTGTAACTAGGTGTAAAGTGAAGACCTAAGAACTAACTTCTGGTTGAGTTATTCCATGTAAAGTTTCTCTCACTCAAGTCCAGCCCTCAAGACGTTTGTGATTTTTAAGTTAGAGTTTGGGACCTAACAAATCCCATACTGTATCTCAAATTTTCTGAATAACTGAAGGGAAGGCTCTGTGTAAATCTTCTCTCTCAGACACATAAATTACCAGCTGCATGAATACTGCCATTAAGACATGCAGACAAGTGCAAGGGGTGGGGACAGGGCAGGATGCCCAAAAGAGGTGGAGTTACTGAGAAAACAAGACATTTGCTCACTGAGTAATTTATCCCTAATCTGCCTTCACTGGAGCTGAAGAACAAACACCACAAGTTTGTCAGGCTCCCTCATTCTCTAGTCAGGCCATTTTTTTCTGCAAAGCAGGTCTTTTCTTCCTATTTCTACTTGTTTTATGTGTATTTTTTATTAGGTAAAGTCAAAACTGCAGTATGTGAAGCTAAGGTTTGCATTAAAGTTAGGTTCAAAGATAAACTGAAGCTAAACTGCATTTCTGGTTTGAAGACAGCAAAATCTTGCAAGCTCTCCCACAATGATTGCAAGCCCAAATTGTCAGAAACCCTGACACTTCAGTTCCTTTCCTGATGGTACTGCTGCCAAGCTTGGTGCATAGACTAGAAGACATGCACAATTAAAGATGAACCATTGTAATTGTTACACTGGAATGCAGCGAAGCTAAATAAACTCAGGTCCAAAGCCCAGTTAGCTAGTGGAGCTTCCTGAGCAGTTTCAGTGTATTTTCACATATACAAGCCACTTGAGTTAATCGCCTGTTGTGCTGTTCTGTGATAGGCAAATGCCACCACTTTCTATTTTCAACAAGAGAACCGCATCCCACAGAGCGTTGGTAATATAATCAAGGGCAGGTACAGCATTACAGCTGCAATCCAAGCTCCAACACCCCTTGCACTCTGGCTCAGCACTAACACAGCTTTAAAATCGTCTAACACTGCTTCAGTTTTCTGGCCATGAATGCCACCTAATTATCAGAGTACAGATGTAATTGTGAATAGTCATTTCAGGAGAAGGTGTCATCCCTCAAATCACCAGTGAAACCAACCTACAGAACTCCTGTTAACCGCAGGTGCCGCTGAAAAACGCAGGAGCCATTTTGTTGCTGCTACCTGAATCTCAAAAGCTCATCATGGACAGCTTTACAAATCACTAGAAATACCCCATCATACTCAGGAAAAGGAACTGTCTAGCTCCAACCTTAGAAATCCTTCTCCACCACCCAAAAACTCATCTCTGAGCACCAGCCTCGATTTCTAAGAGTCATGGCTACAAGCTGCACCCACTGCTGTTGAGGTCGTCACCTCTCACCGTGTAATGCAGTAGCTCACCTTACTCTGATGGTACAGCACAGTTGTGTAGTGTTTGGACAGAACACACAAAACCTTGATAAAAATGACAGCCATTCAGCGCTTTTCTAGAACGCAGTGCAATATGTTTTAGTTTTCCTTCTACTTACACACTCATAATTCACCATATGGTTTGAATAGCGAGCCCAGCCCCACAGAACAAAGCCCAGCTCAACAGCACATGTTCCCTCTGCTTCAAGGCAGCACAGAAGCACGGCCGTGGGGCAATGTGCACCTTCCCGCTCAGGTCAGAGGAGTTAGGCAGTGCAGCATGCCAAGGTACCTCACACAGTATCACTGCGGGCAGGCTGGCCGACCTGTTGGAGTTTTCTGAACCTCTGGTCATATAAACACTTCTCTGTCACCAGATAGATCAGTTACATTTTGGATTATTGGCTGTAAATGTCCATTCTCTGTTGATTTTTGTAGTAAAGTGAGTTCACGTGTGTACACATCCCCTACAGTTATCATTAGAGTAACACTAAGATCTGGCACAAGCCCAGAACAGAAGAACATAAAATTGTGCTAGAAACTAATCTTAGCTTCTCCTGTGGTGCCCGCTGAGCCTACAGCATCTGCAGCACCCAGCAGATGAAATACCACAAGTAGGAGCCTGGGAGGCCTCACTGCCCCTTGTCTTCCTCAAGTTAAAAGGCTACTGCCACCATCTAGCTCAGCAGCTTACCTGAAAAGGGCCCTTTGACCACATCTCACTGGCAGGTAGGTGTGCAGCAGGTGATGCTGAGCTGCTCCTCTCAGCACCAGGCCCTCTGCGTGAGGTTGCTGTCAATGGGCACTGCAGCACCAGGCAGGGCTGGGCCACTGCCCCATGCTGTGGCCTCTTTTTTTCTTTTCTTTTTTTTTTTTAAACAAAAGGAAAAGGGAAAAATATACATGATCCCTTCTGAAAAGCAGAAAGTAGAAGAATGGGACAAAAACCTTTGAGGCACTGATCAAAGAAGATCCTGATCTTGAGAAAAGTCCCCATACGCGGAAAGGAGGAGCACCAGAGCACATCTGTTTTCGTGACGTAGCTGATGATATTTTGAGCACTCTGGCTCTGCACTTCCCCTTGACCTCGCACCATCACTTTCTGTTAATATAATTAGTACTGGGGCATCCTCCATTCCCACCAGCTTTAATTTCAAAGTTAAACAAAATGACTTTTTTCAGGTTAATCTCGGAATAGGCAGAAATGCACTGTTGACAAATTAAAAGCAGGCTTACACAGTGATGAGATGTAAGACAGAAAATGGGGATATAAATGTACAGCCCAATTTTTAATTTTATTCATTTCCATTAAATCGGGGTAGGCAGAATCAAGAGAAAAATATGTGAGGAATTTGTGTTTGTTTCTGGGTGATGCGGAATGGAGAGCCATGTCCTGAATAAGCTCACTGTATGTGAGATGATACCTGTGCACGAGCCTTTCCTCTGACCAGCATGAATCAAGGGCTTGAGGGTGATCAGCCCATATCTCATGCAGCTACTGTAACTGCTGTCTTACGTTTTTTTTATCCCAAACTTAATGAATATTTAGCTAGCTCTACAGAATGGATTGGCACTAACAGGGTATACTGAGACCATGAACCAATGATTGGGAAACTAGTCTGGAAAGCAGGTTCAAAGCCTTGCTCTGCTTGATTCCCTTGCTGGCTTACTGACTATTTCATAAATCACCACTCTTTGCTGACTGTAGGGCTCCCATATGCAAGTGCCCTAATCACTGAAGATTTTTTTTTCCTTATAGTGACATTTCATCCTGTTTGAGAAACTTTCCCCTCAAAACTGACACATTTACAAGGGAAGTTTTAGATTTGATGACTCAAAGTTCTTAATAATAACAATAATAATAATTCAGTCAAAAACTATAATCAACTTGGACTTAAATAGCACAGTTTCCCCAGCCCCTGGATGCGTGGCAAACTGTGCACAGCCCTAGGGAAAGCTCCAACACTGCAGTCAAAAATCCTGGGAGCAGGAAGACAGCATTAAAGCCATCCATTAAGTAGTGTTTGCATATACTGCTGAGGTGAATTACAAACCTCCCCAGCAGTATTTGCAATTTGATGGCTTAGGAAAGCCATCTGGGAATTGAGCATCAGACACACGATGTTATGCCAGTAACAAAATTAGTGGCTGTATCTTACCCTCTGGAGCCCTTCTCCTCCTCCTAAATCCTCAGGAACCAGCATGGCAGAGGCAGTGGGGGAGATGCCCGTGGCTCACAGCCTTTCCCATTTCCTCTCATTGGTACAGACCTGTAGAATGGTGAAATAGATTTATTTGAAGGCGACAGTGTGGAAGCAGACATAGATACATGTGATAGAGCTGGAGGCATCCCAGTATAATTAATGAGTAGCGAAGCAAGTATTTATTTATGTTGCACACTTCTAATGAATGGGAATTAGTCACATCGCTGATTCTTGGGTGGCTATTTATGTTGCTTATCTGATATTTGAAAGGAAATTGCACTGAATATTTTCTACTCCAAGGAGGACTGGGCGGTTAAAACAAGAACTGACTTGTGCTTTCGACTAAATGTTAGGAAACTAGTTTCCAATTTTGGAAGTGTCTGGATGTATTTTTCCATTATTTTTTTTTCTTTCTTTGAGTTTTCCTGACTTCAGTCAGGAGGTGAAATGCCAGAAATACCCAGAGACAACCTATCTAACAAGACCGCTCCCCCATGGGCATTGCAGCCCGCCGGGTGTTTTTCCAAACCACCCCTGAACTCTGAACCTTCAAATCATTTACAGATCTCTTCCACGGGGAGAGGAAAACCACATCCCTGCGTGACTCCAAAAGGAGTGTGGTGGGGAGCCCGGCACAGCAGCACTCCTGCAACACCAAGCTACTTCGCAAGTGCAGCAGGAGCGACCATAACAGCAGCTGTGGGCTCCTATGCCTTCCTGAGCTGGGGACGGAGGAGTCATGGCCACGATCACTGCATCAGCTTCTGCTTGTGCTGGGTGCTGTTAATGCCCATGGGGCTAAGCACAAGCTGGGCACCCCTTAGCTCCATCATCACCCAGCACATAATCACCTCACCGCCTCAGCTCAGGCTGGAGCCTGAAAGGACCTTAACTAGCCAAAGGCAACTGGGAGAGCCTCCATTTCCCATTACAAGCACCATCCAATCTGATGGTATTTTCTGTAAGAAACTAAAGCCTTCTGTCCCTGATGATAAGCTGGTTTTTATTAGGAAATATAAAAGTTGTGTTGTACGTCTCTTCTGTACCGTGCAGTTCACAAAGTTGGTTCTGGTGGCTGCTGCCATTGACAGGTGTCCTGTAAAGCAGGACTTGTATTGCATCAAAATGTTCATGATTCTAAGGCAGCAGAAAAAGAAATATTTCCATGGCTGAAAGTTCCTGTTAGGTAACTATTGCTGAAGTGTGTACAAGATTGCATGTCAAAACATTTTTATTGTTAGCTGGTACGAATTACATTGACTGACGGCAGCAGTTTAACAACCGAACTGCAGTGTACTTTGTTATTTTACTTTTCTATAGAACAGCTCTGTATTTTAGGAGCTGCTGTCATTTTTAAGTTACAAAGCCTGTCTTTAGAAATGCATGTGCCCTTACTCCTGCTTTCAGTAGCTTTACCAAGTTGGTACAAGTGAATAACAAAACAGATTAAAAACCTGTGTTTCAGTTTTATCTTGCTATTTGGTGTCAGAGTATGAGGGCCTCTTAATAATACAGTATAAATGACCAGAGGAAGAGCAGCAAAAATTAATAGGAAATCAACAGGGGCCTGGGGTTTGTTTTATTTGGTTTGGTGGAGGTGTTTTTAGTTTGTTTGGTGATGCGTTTCTTTTTTTTTTCCTTTTTTTTTCTTTTTTCCTTTCTTTTTCTTTTTACCTTTCTTTTTTTCACTTTTTTTTTCATTTCTTTTTTTTTTGTTTTTCCTTTTTCTTTTTTCCTTTATTTTTCTTTTTCTTTTTTCCTTTATCTTTTTCTTTTTCTTTTTTTTCTTTCTTTTTCCTCTTTCTTTTTTCCTTTATTTTTCCTTTTTCTTTTTACTTTCTTTTTCTTTTTTCCTTCCTTTTCCTTTTTCTTTTTTTTTCTTTTTCTTTTTCTTTTTTTTTTTCTTTTTCTTCTTTTTCTTTTCCTTCTTTCTTTTTCTTTTTTTTTTGGGGGGGGGGGGGAGGAGGATTCTTAAGGTTCAGTTCCTTCCACTTTGCACTTAATCGAGACGCTCCAACAGGGGGCTCGGTGGCGAGCAGCGCTTGGCACCCACCCGAGGCCGCGGGCAGAGGCCGGGCCGAGCGCTCCGGAGCCGCTGTGGTGGCCGGCGGGGCCGCAGAGCCGCTAGGTGGCGGCCGGGGCCGGGGCTGGAGCGCGCTGCGCCCGCCCGGTGCTCGCCGCTGGGCTCCTGCCGTGCCTTCGGGGTGCTGCCTGCAACCCTGAAAAAGCCCAAATTCTTCCCTGAGTGTGGCTACTCACCAAAAAGGCTTTCGTGGGAGCATACTCAGAGGTGGGAGCCTCTCGGATCTGCTGTGATGATATCTGCATCCACATTTAGCTTGTTCCACATTTATTTTATCTCCACTCTTTCTTTTAATCCTGAAGAACTTTTATTTTTTTCAATGTTTTTGCAGTTTACTTCAGCATAAGAACCACAACTGTAAAACAAAATATTTGCAAGCTACATAACTGCTCAGGACTGGAAACTTCTGTTCAGAGTGCTCTGTTTGTTGGTGTACACAACATTTCAGCAAGGAAATGATGCTAATTTCGCTGCCAACATTGCATTAATGTTTCTTGCTTGCTGTCTGTTCATGCTATCAACCCAAGCAGCTTCTGCACACAAGTGGTGAAACTTGACTTCAGCACAAACCAGCGCTGCCGAGGCAGCTGGGCTCACCTGGGTGCGTTCCTGCAGCGCTGCTCTGGAGCCCAGAGCCCAGCACAACAGCCTGCTTCTCACCTCATCGCCCTTCAACACCTTCTTATTTGACTTTCTTCTAAATTAGGTCTCAGCTGCCACACACTGAAGATATAAGGGCCTTATTCTTGATCTAACTGGGCAGAATGACTCCAGGGTAACCTCACAGAAGTCAGCTCCCTGTGTCCCGCACAGCTCCACTGCTGGGTTTCTACATTTGGCTCTGGCACCACAAAAAGCAGTGCCAGTGTGCAGCAGCAAGAGGCCCTGGAAATGGCAGCATTTTGGGGTCACAGTTAGCCCTGGATTCACAATGTCAGGGCAGTTAACAGCATTATTACATGCTAGCAGAGAAGATGGACAGATATAAAGGACAGGGAAAGGAGGAAAGGAGGATAAGGAGAAAGGAAAAATGATATGAGAGTAATATATAGGGGAATTATAAGGCAACGGTCTTCGTTTTTTCAGCCTATTGACATGCGTGCGTGAATGCATGTGTGTGCACTACCCCATCACGTGCCTGTTGTAGCTGCTGCTGGAGAGCAAATATGGAAACGTGGAAGGAGACGTTGAATAGAAAAGCAAAGCAGTGTAGAATAAGGAAGCCTGTTATTTTTTATTTGTCTCTGACAACTGATGGACTTGCATCAGCTTGCAGAGCTTCCACGTGGAAGAGCTGATGGTTTTGGAAATGAATGCAAAGATTCACTCCTGGGCAGGAGATTTCAAAGCACTACAACAGTTGGCTCTTTAAAATGTTTCTGAACAGAAACACTGAAAAACTGTAATGGTAACAGCACAAATAAGGCAATATTAATGAAGTCAGTCCTTGCTGGTAAACTACTGCCGTGCTTTTGAAGTAAAAATTTCAAACTGTTTTTGTTTATTTGCTAGGAGTTCAGCTCGTTCTCTTTCTTTTAATCAAACGTGATTTTGGTTGTGCTGGTCATTTTGAAGAACACTGGAGAAGAGGGAAAGGCCACTGTGAGAAATGAATTTAACATCCAAATGTCCCTGAGAAAGCAGAGCGGTTCCTCTGGGCCAGGGGGCACCTGGGCAGAGCAGGGGGCTGTACACTGCTCAGAGCCGCCCAGCTCCTCTTGGGCTTCAGTGGTCAGCAGCCACATTTCTTTAAATGTTCTGAAAGTTTAAAGAGCCCACAGAAGTCATGAGGAGCGTCAGGTGGTGGAAGCTGTTAACTGCCCCTTATTTCACTGAGGTGCCTAAGGAAAAGCTAACACCTGACATAAATTCTGCATCACGCCCAGCAGGCAAATTCTGCTTTACTTCCGAAGTTCTGTTTAGAAATTAGAAAAATTGAAACAAAATCCTATGCTTTGAATACTGTCGGTATACATGAAGTTTCAGTTTGAATGGAATTACAATAACTAATTTAAGTTCTGCTCAATATTAGCTTGGCTCTGCCTGAGTTGCCAGGATGCCTTATATAAGGCGTGGGTGTTTGGTTGATTGCGGCTTCCTTGGAAGGAAGGCTGTGCCCAAGACCCACCATCCAGGAGTGAAAAGGTCACCCTGCTTGCTCCCAAGGGCAAAATCCATTATCTCCACATCCAGGATACTGTTTCCATATCAAAAGATACCAGTTTTGGAAGAACATGATTTCAGAGCATGAAGCAGCTCCACAGACCACTTGGGTTTGACCTTCAAATGCCTTAGATAGACACAAGCCTTGAAAATGACCCTCGGCACCCTGGGAACTTCCATGGAAAAAATGAAGCACCCAGGGGGTGTATCCTTGACTGTCTGTGCTGCTGAGTCAATGAATTACAGTGCTGTAAATGAGCTGAAGCTCTAGGTAATCTAGGAAAAGAGAAAACAGTGCTAAGGCTGATGGTTTGTGAATGTATATGTTAAATACATGCATGCCCCTGTACGCCAGGGAAAGAAAAGGAGTCAGAGCAATTTTATATTCCAGTGCCGGTTATCTGGGAAGAGCGAGGAGCTGAAGCACACCCAGTGGCTTCTGCAGTGCTGCTGACTCCCAGCTGCTTGATGGGGCCGCTGCCACGCAGACACCCACCCAGAGCACCCCACGAGCAGCCAGGAGCACGGCATGGGAGCAGGCTGGAGCAGCAAGAGAGCCCGTACAGCTCCCTTCGGCAGCACCAGCAGCAACACAATGAAGCTGCCTGAACTCTCACCATGAGATGGTTTCAATGCAGCGTGCCCACAAACAAGGAGAGGCTTTGCCAGACCTTCCCAGAAGCACAGAAGTGGAATATGGATCCGGGAAGTGTGAATTTTGTCTCAGCTATAGATAATCCTGATGCTATGCAGGCAAAAACCATTAATGAAAGAGGAACAATAAATTCTTTGGCTTTGTTTGGGCATCAGCATTTGGATATCTGGGGCAAAATACCCAGGGGAGGTTCAGACTGGGTACTAGGAAAAGGTTCTTCACCGAGAGGGTGGCCAGGCACTGGAAAGGCAGTCACGGCCCCAGGCCTGCTGGAGTTCAAGAAGCACTTGGACAACACTCTCAGACACTTGGTCTGATTTTTGGGTGGTCCTGTGTGGAGCCAGGAGTTGGATTCAGTGATCCTTGCGAGCCCCTTCCAACTCAGGATAATCTATCATTCTTTGATTCTATGAAATGCTTCACAGAAACAAAGGCATGATTTTTCTTTTCCTACCTCTTTACATTTTCATTTCAGCATATGGCTTTTTGTACATGAACTTGCACGAAATATCTATGATACCCAGTTCAAACCAGAACTGTTACTGTGGCTCATCTACTGTATAAATGTTTGCAGATCCCACTGTGCTATGTGATGTGCTCTTGCAGCATTCAGAATGTGCAGCTGCATATGGGAATGCAGGAGGGGTCAGCATTGAGGGGATTCACATTTAGCATTGCCTACTGGAATCCCAAAACTAAAAATGAGCCAGAGGAAAACAGCAGTGCTCTTATTTCCATACACTTATGGTCAATGAGCAATTCCAAGGATCCAGGTCTGATTTCACAATTCTACACACGCACCCCACTAAATCTTTTCAAAATCTGCAGCAATAAATGTTTAGGCATCTGATAGTTGGATTCAGATCTGAAATTAATGTTTACTTTGATCCATGATAAGTGTACAATCTATGATCAGTACCCTAGCAAAAACATAACTTTATCTGTGGATTTGAAAAATTGTGTTTGAAGAAAACAATCACAAGTTCTCTAAGTGTAATTAAGTTCTTCTACCTCTCCCTCCTACCAGTACAACCAGCTAAATTGACGTTAAATATGTAAATGTTTGTCCTTATTGTATTAGGTCAGAGATGGAGTTTTGTTCCTATTAAGAGTACTACTACTGTGACATAAAACCCTGTGATGTAAAGTAAAGGAATATAGACAATAAAGTCAAAGTGTCTATGAAAACATTGTTCAAGTACCTTGTCTGTTTTCCCAACAGTTTTGGTGTTTGTTTTTTTCCTTATTTGCTGTGCTCCTTCCCATGATCTGTTCTGGTCGCTCTCAACAGGAAGATGTCATTACAGTAGGTTTTCTTCAAATTGATGCAAGCTAATTTCTGCCAGGCAGAAATTGGACTCTGTGAAGGCTCGCTAGTTCTTGCAGCTCTTCTGATTTAAGCCACAGACACTAATGTAACATAGATGTTTAACAGCACTTAGTAAATTGACTAGTAGGAACTTTACTAGTTCCAAGTAGTACTAGAAACCAACACAGTGAATTTATGTAAAGCCTACAGCAACTCTGTGAGCATGCGTATTTATACAGCTAACTAATCCAGAGAGTTTTCATCAGCCAGTCAGACACGGTAACATGTCACCCAGCTGCTGTGGCTGGTTTACTCGTGATTTATCTGATGAATCTGGAATACTTGCCACAACACTCAGTAATCACTTCAGCAATAACTTCTTGGACAAACTGTTCATCAGACAATAACCTCAAACCACATAAGCTTCAACCTTTTAGTCAAAAAAAAAAAAAAAAATAATAATAATTTATTTTCTGTTTTCTAAGGGCTATGTTCTGTGTGCAAGTTCTTGACTATGAATAGCTCACCCTGCCTTGCTGACCCGTGGGCTGGGGCAGCGCCATGAGCTGGCCCCATGCAACCATCCCCACACAGCTCTGCCACTCACCCACTGACCCCGGGCACTCCCTGCTATTCCATCAATGCAGGACCGTGATCCCAGCCCTGCTCACATATTAGGCAAATTCATCTTTTTTTTTTATTTTTTTTTTTTAATGTTGCAGATATTCTCTCTGTTATTTAGATGAAGAATAACAGACATATTGATGTGCACATAACTGTCTATAGCATTTCTGAATACCTCAGCGCCCCTTGAGGCCATGTGTATGCCGGTTTGTTAAATCTGAGGAAAACTTCTCTCTTAGCACCATTTCACTGACTGGCTGCCTGATCCTTACTTCTTTTTTTTTATTATTTTTTTTTAAGTGCAACATGAATTTGGGTGTAACCAAGCTACTGTGAGATCCTGCTGCATTCAGGGGAGCCAGATAAAAATGGATGTATGAGCCAGCATTGATGCACTCAGAGGTGGGCAGGTTGGACTGTAGGTAAGTATGATGCTAGTTTTTTCTGTGCTACATATAATTACATAATGTGTCCCCACGTGCATGGAAGTTAAACAAATTGTCCAGAACTGCCGGTGCCAGCTTTATTTTAAGATCCCATTTAGAAGCTTGAATTTAGGTCATTTTAGGAATTGCATCCAAACTTGTATTTCATATCAAAGCATGACATTGTATAACATTTCTGCCATTCATGCAATTCTTTACAATTTCTATTTACGTGGAACAAGTAAGTATAATCTTATTGGTAAGAAAAAATTTTAAAAATAAATAAATAAAACTGAACTGCTGTTTCACCTTCATTGGAAAGACCAATCCTATGACTGGGCTGGTAAATGCCCCTAATCATTTTGCAAGGTTACAGTGTAGACTGTGGGCCTTAGAAAACAAATTTCCAGTCAAAGGCTCCATCAGTGATTTAATATTGAACAAGAAAATGACATTTATCAGTCACACCTGTTGAAGGTTATGCAGCCATATTTCCCCCATCTGTATATAAGAAGGGACAGATACCGTATTAACAGCTCAGTGTGTCTCCAGGCATTTTTGATCCCTTTCCTCGCACTGTTCTTCTATCAGGCAGTCAGCTAAAGTCACTCACCTCACTGGCCCAGCACAGCAGTCTGCTTTTAGAGGCAGGAAAATCCGAATCTTCACATTGCTGACCTTATTGTTTTACAGACTATTGATTGCAAGTCATCGGGTTTCGGCAGTTCAAAGGGATCAACCTCTGGAAAAGAGAAGCAGAAAGAAGGAATGAACCCATATACAGGATGAGGCCACTACTGCAACTGACTGACAAATGGCATTTGATTTTGTGTAGTGGGGATAAACAGCAATTAAAAGAGGTTCTCTAGTCTCTCACACTGCACTGGAACACAGCCAGCCAGAAGTGTGCAGCACGTCAGAGTCCTCATGTGGTCTGCAGAGAAACAGGTATTGGCAAGGACCATGGCAAAGGCCACATGAGATGACTGTCCCCTTCCAGGAACAATGGACAAGAAGCTCCATGTTTGTCCCCATGGGCTCAAGCCCAACTTATGCTTTGATCAAGAGAGATCAGAGTCACCACCTAAACCAGAGTGGGACAGGCAATGGGGTAGGAAACAAGCCCACCAGGAGAGGTTGCTCCAGGGGAGAACAACAGCAACAGCAGACAGTGGTGCCCAGGAGACGGCTGGGGGCTGCTGGGCAGCTTCCCAGCACCACCCGACTGCTGGCAATGGAAGGGCAATGGGGGCACACTGGGCAGACAGCCTGAGTGCCCTGGAGGTGGGAGGAGGCCACCTTGGACAGACTCTGACCCCATGTCCCAGAACTCAGTGCCCTTACTTAGAGGGGGCAGGTGACCAACACTTCGCTCCACCTCTGGTGCAGGACAGAGGGAGCAGTTTTAAAGTTTTAAACTTGGAAAAAGGAATGTGCAAAATTTCATAAACACATCATGGGGATTTATTTAAATACCAAGTTTCAAAACTTGCATAACAAGCAAGTAGATGCAGATAATTTTTATGCATCTCACCAGCTCTACAAACAAGACCCATTTTTCAATCAAAGTATTAAAAATATGTTTCCTCTCCTGGGAACCATGTACCCAGGATTGTCAAATAGGGATTTAAAAAATAAAAATAAAATAAAATCCACAAGCTGGGAATACTTCCCGGAAACACTCACCTACTGCAATGAACTCATACTCTGTATTGCTCAGGATAACAATTAGTATAGCTGTACCAGTAAATGGGTCTGTACAGGCTATTTAGCTCTGCTGAGAAGCAGGATATTTTAGTCAGATGGTCAGCTGAGCTCAACTGGCAAAAACCCTTTGCTATATAACACATCTACAGCCATGTTCTTAATACTCTAGCTCAGTAACTAAGAAACATGGCAAACTTTGTGACCTTAGACCATGGATTGCAGGAGACCAATCTCCCTGTCGCTCTCCGCAGCAGACATTTGGGCTGCACTGAAGTTCTGGCTATGCTCAGCAGCCTGTGCCACTCAGCTGTGCCTCCTATTCCTTGTAAAAATTTATGGAAACAAAATCCAATTTCTTTTTGTTTGCCCTTTGGTTCCCTTCCTATTGTATGGTTAATTATTGTATTTATCAAAACCATGGAATCCAATGCCTGAAGCAGTGTATTCTGAAGGAGATTAAAGATAACAACCAGAAACACATATGAGCAAAATTCTAATTTAGAGTACTGTTGTACTTGAAACTCTTGCCTGGAAAACTTTTCAAAACTAGGAAAATGGCAGGGATAACCAGTGGGCAACCAGGTCCTCCCATCTCTCATTCAGAGCTGTCACATTTCTCATCTCACAGACAGAAAAGTCCCGTCAGAAGATATCTAGCTGAGCTCTCTCCCCACCACCAGCAGCCCTGAGCCACAGCACAATGCAAATGCATATATTTCTACCAGCTTTTCTTTAAAGCATCCATTTTCCACCGGCCTGGCTTCTTTTTAATGTTGTTGTACTTTTGGAATCTCCATTCCACCTTTCATCCAAACAGATATGGTATTTCCCTAGGAAATGTTTTCATTTTGCCTGGAAATGTTTTCATTCTCACAAGAGCCAATGAAATGTAATTTCTAAAGTTACATATAACTTACCAAGGTTTAGACTAACAACAGAAATAATTTGGAAAAGTATACCTCTCTGTTTTGGTTATTGACTGCTTCTACTACTCTTAATAAATATTTTGCAATATTGCTTGCAGTAAGAACTTTAAAACAACAACGTTACATCATGACACTAATTCAAGATGCACCATTGGAAATTAGACTTATCAGGCCTTCAGGACACATGTTAGGTCATGAACATCAAGCATATTTTTTGATGAACTATTTGCAAATTAGATGTATTCCAAATGTTTGCTCATTTAATTAGAACATAAAAGATGGTTTCTTTGGCTGGACCTTGTTTCTGACCCTTCTTGCCTGTGTGTGGTTTGTATTGTTCTTGGCTAATGAGATATAGGATATGTACTAAACATTTACACATTAAAGGCATCCTTCATTCAGCATGAAGGTGTTGATACATCAAGGATACCTCAAACATGCTGAGAATCCAGCAACTTGTCAGACAAATTAGCACCTTACCAATCGGGGGTAAAATTGAGTTTCACATTTCTCCCTAGGGGGAAGAAAAAAATCAAAAATCACTGTAGTTTAATGCTTTCTTTGTAAATATGAACACAAAAGGCTTTATCACCTCTGTAGTGTAAATTATAGCCCTCACTGACTACCTGATTTTTAATTCATTGGTTTTAAATGATCCTAGGCAGTTCAGAGCAAATCTATTTTGTCGTTCCTTTCTTAGACACTTCCGCTCTTTTAAGTCTATTTTTTTTTACAGATATTTAAAACACTTCTATATGTATTTAAATCTACACCTATATATTAAAATGGAAGAAAACCAAAGTCTTAAATCTGTATCTTCCACTAGCAGGAGGTTTTAACCCAAACTCTAAGGAGTATGTGGAATTAAGGGACTGTATAGCAATGAAACTATAAAGCTTTGGACTTTTTTTTTCAGCTGACTGGTGCTGAAAATCAACACTTAGTACTTCAGGTTGCTGACATGAGACCTTCAGAGCACTGGGAAGACCTACTGTCAGATAATTCAGCCTGATAAAGTATCTTGATGGAATAACTGGGCTGAGGATAAGGCTAAGGTCAGCCATAGGTGCTGCAGACACTACAGTAGGAACCACTGAGTATCCTGTGCTTCTGTCACAAGCCATGGCATGGCATGCACTGGGAGATCATAGTGCATACTGCTACCTACACGAGATTTGAGGAGAGGAGGTTACTATCATAAACCTCAAAGACGAGAAATATTTATGCATCCAAAGGGCTTTCTGCAACTTACATAGCTGAAACATTTACCCTGCTACGATCTCATCACAAACACACATTTTCCAAAATTGCTAGGTCAGCAAATCAAAGCAACCTATAACCAAAGCAAGAGGAGGCCTAAGGTTTCCATAGAGATTGGGTCTGTACCTATAGGTCATGCCTCACGTTCCCCTTGGCAACTTCCTCATTCTCAATAGTCTCAAATTCAATTATTTATTTATTTATTCTTAAATACAGGAAAGAAATTAGTAGAGGACCTGTCTGGTTGCAATTGCTTGAAAATCCATCAAAAATTTAGGAACTGTCACCATGCTAATGAATTTTACCATCAAGCCCTCTTCCTTTATCATTAAAACCTAATATCTAAACAAAACATAACATAGCATCCTGTTCCACAGCTGGACATCTGCTCAGTGTGATTGTGATCCTGCAGTCATAACTTCTCCTTAACTCCTGATGTCCTGTATGCGATCACCAGCATTCAAAGATGTCAAGAACATGCACTACACCTTATTAAATCAATTACAGAATAGCTGTCTGGCAAAAGAGTGTTACCATGAGAAGGAATTTAATTCTGAGGATGTTAATTCCTTCTCTGCAGGTGTATTTTTCTGAATTCTCAATACAAATAGTGAGTAGGGGTATTAGTGCCCAGCAGCTATAAGAAGGTAGACAAGGGACAGAGCTGCTGAAGCAGAGACATGGGATTGAACACTGACTGCCTGGGCATAACACTGGCGTATCAGACTTGTAAACCAGATTCTTATACCAAGAACTTCATACAGATATCCAGAGAAAATCAAAGATTTATGTTGTTCATAGTATATGTTTGCATGGAATTTCAGAATATGGCTCCCGCTCAGTAATATAGATTACATATATTAAAACACCTGTACAGTTTTGCCTTGAGGAAAAAAAAAAAAATCTCCATGAAAAAGACATTGAATTTTTAAATCCTTAAGAGAGCAAGAAATATTGTTTCCTATTCATATAGTGATATGATGTATGAATATGCAGTTAAGAGGAACTGATTTACAGACAAGATCCTGAATCTATAGATAAGTGTTTTAGCAGTTGAGTAAAACAATAATGGCCAGCACTAATTGGATGTGGTCTGTTGCGTGGCTACTGGAATCAAATAGTAAAGAGGATCACAGTTCCTTATTAGTTAGGACCACCTAGGGTGATGGAAAGCTTGAATGATCAAAGGAAAGACATTTTTATGCTATAAATGTTGATATGCTCTTGAGCTTTCCAGTATAATTTAGGATCCAGTGTGCATATTTGACATACTAACCACTGAACAGGGCAATGAGTGTGATATTAGACTACAAAAGTTGTGCTTGCTTGAAAGATAAGTGAATAATATTCAGTAATATTTTTCTATTCCCTACTGCATCACAAAATAATTTTATATTGGTTCCAGAGTTGAATGACTTCTTTTTGCCTAATTTGATCAAGATTAAATTAGCCTTTTTTCCTAATATCATATCATGAGAAACTATATCCAGCTTTCTCTGAATATCCAGTGATCACTGGATAGATGATGTGAAAAAGGACGTTATTTCTTTGTATAAATCCAAAGTAATCAGGCATGATTTTTTTACTGTTCATAGCTTGGTCACACAGGCCCATGGAATTGTTTCTCTGTCTTGAATGAACAGCTGAAAAGTTTCGAAGAGAGTAATGTGCAGTGTTTGTGCAGTATTTTTGGTCATACCTGAATTCATTCAAAGCAGTCTTTCCTTGAAACACTTTTGTGAACAAAAGCCTATTCCCTTTAAAATGTCTGTAAATACTAACAAAAACATAAACATGATTGAAAGGAGCTCTGCTTTGGAACTGAAGCACATTTGAAAAGTGAGGATTG